TTTTTTTTTTTTTTTTTTTTTTACAGTTTCTCCCTACTACCCTTTAGCCGAGTCCATCGACCAATGACCTTTCCAACTTCTTCTGGGCGCTCGATGGGCACAAAGTGTCCACCCTGCACCACCTCGTAGTCGACCAGAGAGCCTGCCAGCTCCGCTATCCCTTGCACCATGTCCGGCGGCAACATGAGCGGCCGCGAGGCGGAGAGGTAGAGGAGCGGCAGGGAGAGATGAGGCAGCGTGCAAGGTAGCTGGAGCGCTGGAATCGAGAATCGCAACGAGCACTGCGCGAGGAAGCAGCGCGGTGGAGCAAGTCAGTGTCCGCTGATCGAGGGGAAAAGGAAAGAAGCGCGTCACCTCCTGCACCGACTTACTGCCTCGAGATACTTGTCGCACACTAGACGGACGCCACCGCTAGGATCATCGGATCGCAGACCATAGACCTGCCAAATGTGTCATCATTGCGCGTTCGAGAAGCGATTCAGCATGTCACGTCACGACACGCCTGGCTGGCTAGCGAGCGCCAAAAGGTACGGCTGGGGTCCAAGCAAAAAAGCAGCCCTGAGGCAGAATACACCACTCACGGAAAAGATTTGCTTGCAGCGGGCATGCCAATCCCTGATCATCGCATCGCCGCCTTTTCCTTGCTCACTCCGCTCCCACTTTTCCCTTGCATGCTTTGCGCTCTGCCACGTGTCGGTGCGCCTTAGAGCGAATCCTGCGACGGGTATCCTCTTTGCCATCTGTATGCCAGCAAAAGGAGCAATGATGGGCTCGATGGCTACGACTGCTTGAAACATGTCTGGATCGTGCAGAGCTGCTTGGATCAGCGCAGTGGAAGCGACGCTGTGACCCAGGGCGATGATGGGTGAGGGCTTTGCAGCTGAGCTGGGCCGCACGGGCAGCAAGTGCTGGCTGGTGCTGCGCTTCTCGCGCGTTGCTGCTGCTGCTGCTGCTGCCAAGTCGTGCAGCGAAGAGGGTCTAAAAACGTGCAGGAATTGCAGCACGTCTCTAGCCAAGTCGTTGTGGTCGACTGCAGCGCGGGAAGGGAGGGAGGAGGGGAAGACCATGTCAGCGCGCGCGTGTGCACGCCCGCCCATGGCCATGCCCATGCCCATGGCCATGCCCACCACTCAACTGATCCTGTCGTGACTATGCGTGCCCATATCGCCAGCACGTCTTCTGCACGCGTTTGCCCTCTCCGTCTCGCCGTGGGACAAGAAATCGACGAGCCAAATGTCGCTGATCTTTGTTGTTGTGGATGCCAAGAAGGCTTCGATCATCGGTATGAGCAGCTGTGCGTGAGGGTGTGTGTGTGCGCGTGCGTGCGCGCGCGAGAGAGAGAGAGAGGGAGAGGGAGGGAGGGATGGAAGGGTGTGAGTGGGGGGTAGACGCGCGAGAGGATAAAGATGGCGGCATGCGGTCACACGAGTGCAAGGCGGCGGGCGGGGCGGGACGGTCGTTTGCGCACGCTTGCGCACGCTTGCGCACGCACCTCTTTGCATGCGCCGGTGGCATGAATGGCAAGAAGGCAGCTTCCTTGTTGCCTGTTCACGTGATCCTCGCTGATGTGATGCGTCACCACGATGCTCCTGCACGGCGGGCTGAGCGGGCTGAGCGGGCTGAGCGTGCAGCGCGAGTCTGACTGCTGATGTTCTTGCTGCTGCTGCTGCTGCTGCTGCTCTTCTTGCTGCTCATCAGCCCACAAGCTCCACCTGCCCGGCTTCTCCAGCGCCTCTTCCAAGCCTTCGCGCGGCACCCACCAAGGCACCCTGTTCAACGCCGCGCTCTTCGCATTGCCATTGCCCACATCCCGCACCAGCTCCGCATACGCCGCATCATCCATCCCTCCTTCTGCCTGCTCCATCATCAAGTGTCCACAAAACCCAAAAGGCATGCGACCCAAGCTGGCTCTGGGCAGAGCCAATGGCACTTCGTACCGATGCGCTCCTCCACCGGCGTCTTTATTCGCGAATCCTCGAATCGTCGCTACACTCTCCATCTGCGCACCCGCAAAAGGTGCGGATTGGGATGCGAGCAAATCGATTTGCTGCGAGAGCAGATGGCGACTGATGGGTGCCAGTTGAGGCAAGAAGGGCAAATCTCGCGCGTAGTCGACAAGCAGAGGCGGCACGTCCGCCTCTGCGCTAGAAGCCTTGGCATTTGCATCAGCGACCATGCTGGGCTTCTGCTGCTGCTGCTGCTGCTGCTGCTGCTGCTGCTTGCTTGCTTGCTTGCTTGCTTGCTTGCTTGCTAGATAGAGTTGTGCTGATGTCGGATAAAGGCGTGATGCATGCGCAAATCAATGACGCGTCCGAGTCACAAGGGACCGGTGTGAAGTCGTGAGTCACCAGTGAGAGACGGGAGAGTGGTGTGAGAGATGTGAGCTGAGGCGTGCTGATTCCCATGCACAGCACGCACGCACGCACGCACGCACGCACGCCGCTGACGGTAGGCGCGAATGCACGTCGCGTGTGCGCGTGTGCGCGTGCACCCAGCGCACGGACTATCCGATGAATTCACGCAGACACGAGGCGAGGCGGATTGCCCCGTCCGCGCACAACACAACCGATGCGTCATTCTAATCGTGATTCACAGTCAGAGTTTGATTCAAATTCACATTCGTGATTGCAAAGCATCCAGCACGCGAAATGGGCATGGGCATGGGCATGGGCATGGGCATGACTGTATGGTCCTCGTTGTTACGATTCGCGACACGTTCGCTCGAGCCAAGATCGCAGCCCGTCGCTCGCTCGCTCGTCATCTCACGTCACGCGGACGATGCCCTGTCTGCCTGCAGTTCGGTCCACAGCGCATCGAACCTGGCCTCCCTGAGCGCATTGGCCAACCTTGTCACCGCATCGCCCACCGTGCTCGGGCTTTGGTCCATGGGCAAAAAGGCCTCTTGCACGCCGCAGTACATGCTCACTCCAATCTCCCGCCTAATG